TTTTTTTTTTTGTTTCTTTTTTGTTTAATGTTAAGTTTTGCAAACCTTGACTTTCTTAAACAAATATGCCTCACTTGCATGCCATGTACACGCGTCCATATGTATGCACTCACACGCAGAAAGAACTACGGTACTTTTCACTTACACACTTTTCTGTATGTCACTCACGTTTCGCTCTGTCGTCGGTCGCATTAAATGAACTTCCTGTTGTTATTACTTTTGCCTTGTCTCTGCACTTCATGAGCACTCTACCTACCTTCGTCGTGAAAATTATTTCCATTAGTTTTTTGTTTTTTTTTGTTGTCAACACACTCGTAACTTGTAGTTTTCAACTAGCTTTGGTATTTTTTTTTTTGTATTTTTTCTATTTTGGTTGGTTGCTTTTATTGCTGTTCTTCGTAACTATTGTGCGTTTAGTTATTTGATATTATTGTAGTTATTGTTGTCAGTTGAAGCAGCTGAAGTTGCCTGGAGCGATGTCATTTCATTTCAGTTTCCTTCGCTTCTAACTATTCATTCGTTTATTCATTCATTCGCTCGTTTGGCACCCACTTCTTCAGACAAGCAAAATGGCAAATGGAGGTATGCGAAAAATCTTCAGAATAATGAAACTTCATTCCAAAAAGGCACATACATATATGTATGTATATACCTAATTCTTTGAGAATCTTGAAATTTTTGCATTCGAATAAGCGTATACATATTAGGGTGGGCCTTAAAAATACAACTTTTTTGGGGTCGCTAACAAGGTTTAAAAAAATTTAAGCCTTTTTAGTCGACAAAATCTTGGCTTGAAATCTTATAAGACATATTACTGAAACTTATTCATGTACATTCATAAACTCGCTGAGTTATAGCTTACCAATGTCAATTTTGTCCAATTTTTGTGATTAAAAAAATTATTTTTTTTTGAAATATTTCTTTTTAATTATGAAATTTTCGTAAGTGTCGTTTTATTGTATGTTGATAATTTTACGGTCCACCCTAATAAATATATATGCACATATGTTTATCTGCTGCCAATCCGAAAATGATTTTCGATCCATGTTTGTATGTAATCACTACCAAATTTATTCAAAACCAATTTTAGTAATTCAGCAAAATAAGTTTCTTCACAATTTCTTAATCTCCGACAAATACGTTTCTTTATTTTCATATTCATGTTTATATTCACATTCATTGCCTTATTCAGTTAGGTCTGCAACTCTTCGACTATTTATAAAAGATTTCTATTTATATCAGTTTTTTTTTTGGTTTCTTTTTTTAGATTTTTTTTTAGTTTCTTTGTTTTTCATCCACTCTGCTTCATTGAAGCAGTAGTTGAAACTTTTCGAGTAATTATCTACTTATATTTTCCGCTTTTGTCTTTCGTCTTTTGTCTCTCACCTTGTGTACTTCTATTACCATTTAACAGCACAGTGAGTTCTACAATCTCGACAAACCAAATGAGCATTTGTATCGTCAATAAGTTCTTTGTTTTTTCTTAGTTCATACAGCATTCTTTGTTTAACTTTCTCAACTTGATTACACCACAAGAAGCAGACGTACAGAGAAAACTCGAAAGCAATAGAAAATGTGGAATAAAGTTTCAAATTAGAAAAAGACTTTACCATGAAAGTGCATACGTACCTATGTAAATAACACAAAGTTTTTTTTTAAACTAAGGAAAATCGTTACAGTTTTATTTATTCATCGAGATTTTGCTTCTTCGGTGATTTCCATTAGAATTACTCTAGTTCGAAGTTCTTCAAAAAAGGATCAAAAAGAGGCGGTTGCTCCAGTTCGTCCTTCCATCGTGTTCGTGAGTGCCCTTTCTTTCATTGTCCATCCATAGATGACGAGTCGAATAGTCTTTGCAATGAAGCGTCATTGGACCGCTCCTCTCTCACATTACTAGTCGGGGTAATAACCGGACACCGCTTGATGGGCGACACGGAAAAAAATTAGAATAACCCAGCAACGATTTTTGTCGCAGTTGCAAAGACGATGAAGAGGTGGAGAGCATCAAACATTAGCTCTTCTTTTTGTTCGATAAATCTCCATCTACTTTCCCTCTCTGCCTCTACACGAACCAGCCTCAGTGTTGAAACCATTTAATTGGTGCTTTTTTAATGTTTTCCAGCATCGCAAGCTCTTCGCTCTTCCTTTTGAATAGACATGTCGCCTTCATCTTTTTCTACCGGTATCGATCAACTGTTGCTCGCGTAGCCTCTTCGCAATGACATTAGATTGGAAAATTAATACCCATTGCTCCTTTTTATCCGGTCGATGAAGAGCCTCCTGTTAAGGAAGGTTTGACGAAATTTTTCACTAACAAAATCTGACCACCAAATTAAAATAAACCGTCGTGAGACTTGGAGCTCAATTAGTATACTTTGGCACAGTTTCCTAGCCGGATAGCAACCCATCATTTTGCTTTACTAATTTTTACTTAAAACTAAATTGTATTTGATAAAACATACATACATACATATATATGGATGCATCTCCAATTGTCTATTAATTTATTTTGCGGTTCAACAGGAAATTGTTTCTCAGTAAAGAAATAAAAACCAAAATCTAGAATCTATTGTTTTTTGTGTTTAGTGTTTATAATGCAGTTTAAAAATGCTGATTTACTTATTTTTTTGCACACTATTTAAATTAAGCTCTCAACACAACTTACATTTATAATCGTTTCTCTCTCCTTTCTTTACCCGCAGTGCGGACGAAGGCTTCGATGGCACCTACGCGACCAACGTTGTGGTAAGGAATAATGGCTCGTGTCTTTATGTGCCGCCCGGTATTTTCAAATCCACCTGTAAAATCGACATCACATGGTTTCCGTTCGATGATCAACGCTGTGAGATGAAATTCGGTTCATGGACATATGATGGCTTTCAGGTAGACGAAATTGTTATTTGCTTATACATATATACAAAAAAATGTTTGCATTGAAATTAAACGTTTTTCGGAAAAAATCTTTTTTTTTTTTATTTTTTGTTTTGAAATAAAAAATTGGATAGAAAAAGTGGGAGCAATCTGCACACAAATACCAGCAAAAAAATAAACGCCAGCATAAAAAGTAACAAAAAAAAAATAAAATCAACAAAGCGATATACCCATACAAACGCTTGGTTTCAAAAGCAAATACAGACATACATCTGTATGTACTTACTAAACTACATACGCGGCGGTATTAAAGCCAGCTGTGGCCATATCGATCGCCCTATAGACGACCACCAATCATTGGTCAATTCATGCGTTTTTTTATTGCTCTGTAAATAAATAAAAAGTCAACCGGCAGTTACAATTTGAAAGCATCGCTTATCACTTCGCATGCCGTCTCATGTCACTCATTTCTTATCACCAGCCACGCCAGACTATACAGAAAACAGTTCAGTTGAAAATGAGCAAACTGAATCAATAAAGCCAATTTCAAGCGTAACCTTTTTTCCGCAGGAGCTCTGCTTAGTCGCCAATTATCACTTTCCTTGTAAGCGTTTTTTTTTTGTCATTCTTCTGCCACTTTATTAAGTCGACAGCTTATGGCAACGTCGAGGCCCCTTACTCATTCCACTGCCCAATACAATTTAATTGTCTATCGAATTAATTCCATCGCTTTTAATTTGAAAAATTGCTTAAGGCCAGAAAAAACAATAATCATTACAAGTGCAAAATAATCGACAAACGCTGGTAAATAGCATGAAAGCAAAAAGCAGCGTGGAAATAACAAACAAAAGGCTGAAGTGATAACCGATAGCGAACCAACAAACGCATTTGAAATGAAAAAACAATTTCATCGTTGTAATTTGCGTAATTATATTTAATGGTTTTCTAATATGCCCAATATAACAACAAATAATTTGTTGCGCGCGTGGTAATTTGTTGTAGTCGATTAGCGTGTAATTGCCGTTTTTATAGTTCTGTCAATTTCGACAGCCGTGCGTATTTTGGTATTTTAGAATCTTTTTTGTATAACTTCTACATTACGTATTTAAAATGTTGTTGTTGGTTGTAATTTGGCTGTTGTAAAAGCATACGTACATACATATGTTTCACGCTTCTATTCGATTAGGCTTGAAAATAATTATTTGTTAATTGGTTCAAATTAAAATGACGACAGGGTGTCTAAAAATCCATTACAATAGGGCGAATAAATAATTAACTAATTTTATATATATATAATATATGTTGGAAAAGGCACTAAAATTTGAAAAATAGTTAACAAAAAATGGATCTAAAAAACAAAAATAGGCAAATAAAACACTTTTATTTTAGAAATGCTTATTTTATAAGAAAACCCGAAGAATTTATTTTCTTACTAACCAAACTATAACTTGAGAAAATTTTATTCTATGGCAATTGAGAAGTGCAAGGCGAAAATTTCATAAATCTCATCAAGGACATTTTTACGCATACAGGGGAGCATAGCATGCATCTAGGCGCTTTAGGTAACTACATAAACCATACTAAAACTAGACGTGAGCTGATATAGGTGGTGCCAAATTTAATTGGGGATTATTGAAAACATTAAAATTTTATTTGAACAAGGTTATTAACCACGCCCTCTACTAATTTACCAACACCTCTTATTGCCTCCAACCCTTCGTTGATTGAAAAACCTCTTTGAATTTTACCAACACCACTTTGGTAATAGGCCACTGTGCTTGTAGAAACGGCTTCTAAATTTTATCCTAAATATTTAAACATTGTTTGCACTGCTATGTATTTCTAAATACTAATTTTTCCCAGCGCAAGTTTTGAATATGATAAGTTTTTTTTTGTAGCAGCGCCTCCCCTCGGCCGGCAAAATATTATTATTTTTACGTGCATTGGGGCTCTATGCCTGAACGCTTGGAAGCTCTACCTACGTTTTTCGGCATAGTACAAAATTAATAGCTGAATCTTCATTGATTGGACGGCACAGTAAGTTCTCTCCTTGCCGCCCAATGGCCCTAGCGAAACATCTGAAACAGAGAGATAATTTTTCGATAAAATCCGTCAGTCTGCTGAAAGGAAGCATTTTGTCATGGCATATCCAGACGCCTATAAGTACTTCATTAAGACTATAGCACCGTTCAAGTATTAGGATTAGTTCTCTTGACAGGAAGCAGACTGTGCTTATAACACTGGTGCCATATCTGTAAACCCTATTATTTGTGGAAAGTGACATCAGAGAAAAAGTTTAGTTAGTGCGACGGATAACTAGGCGATCCCAAAATCGACTATTCAACCCGCTTTCCGCTACTTCCACTAAATACTTTCTGCGAGTTTGTTTATTTTGTATGCTAAAAAAAATAATCTGAAAACCTTAAAGTGGTATCAATTTTGGAAAAGCAGTCGGTATTCATCGCACACAGCACACTCAGTTGCTGTGGCATCCACTTGTAAAACAAATAACAGATCCAATGGTGTGGTACCCAATGCAACACTGCAGTACCACTGTGTGGAAGATAAAAGTAAATTTGTAGCAGCAAACGCACAGAATTTCCATTTTAATCTTTCGAATATCGTTACAAGGCTTGAAACTCTGCCAAAGACATTTTCAATGCACTCAAATCGACATGAAGGCGGTGCACTGTTAGCAGTTGACTGCTTTGTGGCAGCTAAGTGTTGGCTCAAGGAAGTGGCACTCACTGGCAGAAATCCATGCGTGGATTTACACATTTGCCAACTAAGTAGTAGTTATACATAAACACACACATACCTTATTATACATATGTATATTTTATGTGTGTAAGTGTACGTAGCACATTAGGGTTGAACCTATGGAGGCAGTGGAAGTTGTTAGCTGTGAGTTCGATTATTTGCATCCGCACTCAGTGCTACTATAACGGCTGTATCAAACAGGCACACACACGCACGCAATTTCCTTCTTCTGCACTTAGCACTCCACCAAACCGAAATGCGTAAACTTGGCATAAATATTTGATGCTGACTGTTTGTTGCAGCCGCAAAACAAATTCGGTTTGTGAAAAAGTTACTGAAGTTGAAAGTGCGATATGTTGCGGTCGCTGCGCTAGCTCCATCCAGCTAGCGTGTGACACTTCTTGCCACTATTCTCAATTTAATTTTTTGGCATTGACGTTTTTTTCGAGCCAAAATAATTTGATTGTAATATTTCACGTGCAAACTTTTTTGTGGCAAAAAAAAAGAAACGGACACAAAACTGTGGGCGGCCCAGCCCAAACAGGCCTTGGCTTACGCTGTTGTGCTGCGTGTTTTGCTATTATTGTTACACGAAACGCCTTCGGCATGAATAATAAACTTTGTCGGTGGTGGTGCGTATGTGTTTTGCGCAAATTTCATTTGTTGGCTACACAAGTGTGTAGTGTGATATTTTGACTTGCCACGTTTTCTCCTCCCTCCTGCTGCGAAAGAAGGGACAAAACGATTTGGCTACCGGTAGTGATTTGAGCGCCGCACGTAACTGGAAAATATTTGCACTTTGTTACGATTTGCTTTAGAGTGTACAGCAAACAAATGAAAATATTTACATATATTTATATTTATTAGTTAGCACGGGGAAGCTTCTTATCCGACCTTGAACATTTAACTAAGGAAATTAGAAATGTGGTTTGGCAAACCCGGAGTTGGAAAGCACGCTTGCAATGGTTTTTGGTAAATGGCCAAAAGCTTAAAAAAATTTTCAAACAAATTTTAAATAATTCAAGCAAATAAAATTAAGTTAAAAAATAAAACAAAATGAAATAAAATAGAAGGATATAAGTAGCGCTTTTCATGATCTTGAACACGAGGATTCAAACTCTGCCAAATTGAAACAACCAATGTGTTGATAAAGGTACTCTAAAAGTTGTTCTATGCAAACAACATACAAGGAAAACAAAGCAAACATTTTTTTCATTGTAGCAAAAACATCTACATAAATAAGTTTAAGCGGGCGCACATGTCGTCGGCGATACTGCAAAACGGTCTATGTTTACAGCGTGGCGACGAATAACTGTTATCCAGGTTTTTTTGAGAAATAAAAGGGTCCTTTATAGATTTTGCGAAAAAAGTATTTTATTGTTAATTTTCCACAGATTTTACTTCAGTTGTATTAGTTAGTTTTTAAATTTTAATCCTTATCTACATTTGCCAGCAGTGTAAACTTTGAGAGAAAAGTTCATTTGGCACGCAAGTCTTTTTCAGGTGTATTTTTTCTTAGGCTTTGTATAAAAAAAAATACAAAAAAGAAAAAAACTGTATAATGTTGGTCGAATGTATAGCCGTCCTAGTCAATAGTTCCGAGTATATTCGATTTTTGAGTATGAGGCCTTATGTTGGACAGATGGGGGAGTATAATGGACTCAAAATGGAGAAAATTAGCCTATGGTTACAGGAGATATGGAATAAATTAACTGACGAGGACCTGCGTGCCAAATGAACTTTTCTCTCAAAGTTTACACTGCTGGCAAATGTAAAGAAGGATTAAAATTTAAAAACTAATTAATACAACTAAAGTAAAATCTGTGGAAAATTAACAATAAAATACTTTTTTCGCAAAATCTATAAAGGACTCTTTTATTTCTCAAAGAAACCTGGGTAACAGTTATTCGTCGCCACGCTGTATTTGTACCCTTGGCACTTAGAAGGCCTCTTACTTGCACCGGAATGCATCCGTAAATCGTTACACCCAAATAAATGAATAACAAAACTGTCTACCTTTGGCTGATGAAGATGAACGATTGACGGAAGCGATCAGATACAGATAACAGATCCATTAAGCACCAGAGGCAATCGACATTGTATTGTAATTTTATTCACATAACGGTTGTTTGTAACAGATAAAACGAATCGAGACAGATATAGGCAAATGCATACATAAATGATCAGGATAAAAAGTGAAGTCGATTAAGCCATGTCTGTCTGTCCGTCCTTCCGTCCGTCCGTGTACGGTA